TCCGCTATTTTGTTGTCCCTGAATTACAAACTCATAAAAACTAAAAATATTCGAGGTACATTTATAGGATTAATGAGTAGCTTTTGTCAATTCTAACAGAATTCGTTGATTTTGCTGAATAAATGTCTACCTTTTGTGAATAAAATAAAACTAAGTCGGCCAATACAACAAAAACTAAAAATTTTCGAATAGTAAAGAGAATATTAACAAAGATCAATATGATACGGAGATGTGATCAGACCACGTGAATTGCTTACCACCTATTCATTCTGAAACATTTATCCAAGTGAACCTAAAAGAAACGCTAATATCTCATATTTCTGAACCGTTATTATTCATGCAACAGCTACAATAAAACAACTGAGAATTCACTAAACATTTATTCTTATGTAGAACATGAACAGTGCAAATAAAATTGCAACTTCCATTGCATAAATATACTTTTCTTTTTTATTTCATAATAACAACTATTTTAGCAGTAACAGTTACAAATAACACGAACACGAGAACAATAACTTTTTTAAATTAGTTGTGTACTACAATGTACAGAGATTTAAAAATACGTATTCAATTCGAACCCATCATGGTGATCTGTTATAGGAAGAAGTGATTGTGCATACAAATACTGCAACTGGTCATAATAATGAAAGTAATTCTGTTAATCACAAAGTTGAAAAAGTGCAGCGATTTATGATTAGAGAAATTAAAAACTTGAAGTGTATTTTTTCATATACTCCAGCGTTACCATGCACACAAAGTGTATATGTTATCAGAAATCATAAGTTTCATACGCTGAATCACGGTAGCCTGAACAAATCGTTTCAAACTCCTTTGAGCCAGTTGGCGAAGAATGCTGTCAGCGGACAAAATTGAAAAAGAATGACAGCATATAAGGTTGTATGCTTTACTGAAGAAAATAAATGATGCAAAGAGTAAGAAATACAACACAGTTATATTTTTAAAATGTCTATTTAACTGATATTCCTTCGTGTAATTCGAAGATAGAGATTAGTCTGAAGTTACCAAACAAACAGAAGTGTTCAAAATGACGCCAGCCAGTATTCCACAAAGATTCTAAAAATAAATGTTGGATCAGAAGACATTCGAATTTTTAAAGAGATATGCATTCAGTTATTAAATATACATAAGGTCAAAATTATTGATTGGTGAAATTCAACATTGCTAAGTAAATCCTTAGAACAGGAGGTAGACTGCGTCAACCTAAATTAAAACAGCTTCACAGTAATTCTTCGATGGTAGTGTGGATTAGTAAGAAGGTGTGTAGCGCCGCTAAGAATATGAATCTTAACTTACTGGTTGATTTCATTAGCTTCCTCATTATGATACATCTAGGGTATAAACGTTATGTTGAAGGATCACTTTAAATTAAGATTCGAAAGTACGAACGAATGACTTAAGCGATATTAGTATTCAATAACATTATATTGAGCTATTTACCCACAGTTAGATAAAATCTATTCTAGAGTATCCATTTCACACGAAACTGTGCCTGATTGATTGTCGACTGATTTGATGTCATCTTCTCGTTGTCGAAATCATTGAAAAAGGATTGTTGCTTCACTTACATTCAAAAGATAAAATAACGCTACTGCATTTTTTCTGGATGTACTCTTTTTTCCCCATGCATTGTTTGGATAGCAGAATTTACAGATATCGTGGACAAGTGTTGAATATTCCTTTTATCACTTCTGACACAATTAGTTGATTTTGCTGAATAATTCTCAACCTCTTGTGAATACAATAAAATTAAGTCGACCAATGCAACTAAAACTAAAAATTTCCTTATGTTAAATTAAAACAAGCTTTGAAGCCAGTTAATGCAGAATTTGTTTTTTTTCGTTTACTCATTATCTCCATTCATCATAGTCAGTTATAAAAAGTGGTATGTAATCCTTGTCTTTACATTTCGAGTTTACAACTCGCTCTCTTCAGTGGAAAAAACTATCTCTCTCTAATTTTCTGAGTGTTCTCAGTATAACGCGATACACGGTCAGTTGACATAAGTCACTTTTAGTCTTTATTTTAGTGTGATTAGCATACCGGAATGAAAACAAATCGCGCGCGATGATGGAGTTAATGACGAAAATTTCATAAATTTGACTTAGTCCCCTACTTAATTGACTAAATTGCATTGAAGAGTACAGAAATAGAGGGAAGACATTGGAGGGTTTTAGGCTAGATTGCACGCAGATAATCCAGTTTTAATCGAGATTATGCAACACGAAGTGATGATGCCAAGCTAAAACCACACTAATGCTCAACCTCACACAGTGAGTCAATAAATAGTTTCCTGCATTGGATTTGAAGAGTATGCAATGTTATTGTCTCATTTTGTTTCCTATTTCTATGTGTGTTAAAGCTGTTCTGAAAATCTTCTATAACGTTAAATTAATTTATTACCATGATCAGGCCTTTAGCTTACCGTGACATCACTTCATTCCTGACTCAGTCACAAACGCATGCCACTGTTTCTTCGACAGAAACCACGGACTTATGGGCAAAACCAACAAGGACGGAAACACTTGCAGGGAGAAAAAGTTGACATAACCCGTGGAAAAAATTTATTTGATAATTGTTTTATTTACTTATCAGTTTATCCTCAAAAAGAGGTAGGTGAACTATCCATTCTGACACACTTGAATCAGTGTCTGTAAAAAACTGGATTTACAGTAAAAAAATTGCACGATATGGTTCAACAGAGGCGTTTGATATCAACGTCGTTTCTAAAAGCTAGAGAAAACCAGAGCTAACCGAAACAAAAATAGGAATAAATATAACAACTTGAATGCACACATTGCCAGTTATATTTTCTTTATATTGGTGAATGGACATCAATTCATAATTTGCATCTTTGATTATTATGATTGCAGAACTGATATAGTTCTAACTTCGATATGAAGCCTTATAGACTTCAGCTTTGCTTCTTAAGCATATTCTTTGTGTTCTGAAACGAAATAGCATCAGAAGTCAGACATTAGAGCGCACTCGAAATTTGATAAGAAATCAAAGCAGTGGTATTGACTTACAATAACAATTGCAGTGTTCCAAAAGCCTCCAGGTAATACAGACAAAGTTTCCTGGAATATGGTAGCTTAAAGTACATTCAGACAATGACTGAATTAATTACGAGTAGTAGTCATGTTAAAATGTTAATTCTAGTTATTATGGAAATTATTGTTTGAATACAAAAGATCACTTGACATTGCAGTTGACTGACATTACTCTGCCACAAAAAGACAAAACCACTCCAGTTATTGGAAATGTCATCAATAAGAAAAGCAGGACTGTGAGCAATGCTGGTTTAAATTTTTTGATAAAGATGCATAAGATCAGTGTTAATGATTCTTACAGAACGACAAAGCCAAAGGAAATTTAACATGCAATCGAGTTTTCATTTTGCAATAAATAAAAAAATATTGGCAGACGACAGTGCAATCTGTTGGCGAAACAAAGTGGCCACTTTCAACAATTGAGAATGGAATTATAATTTCTTAGATCGTTGATGTTGCGAGATTCCTGGAACAATTCGAGACACAAGTCAGATTGAATCATTCTAAATTATTTAAAATAATCCCAGTGTGTTGAAGAAAAATTGAAAAAACAAGATTTTATTGAACGTTTTGTTGTGTAAGCCACAGCTTCTTCAGCAGAATTATTCAGATTTTATTAACATTAAAAATATATGGTCAAAAACTATATAAATTAATTCGGTGACTTGTCGGTATACATTTGTAACAAAAGGAATCCACAAACAGTAACCATATACTTTTAATGACTAGTGTCAAATTGTCGTATATGCTTAGTTCTATGCATGACTGTGTGTATGTCGTTTGTTACGTTGAAAAAGCGTCAAGATATGGTGGTCATAATACAGGATTGAAGTTGTTTTTCCTCATTATCTGTCTTACTTTGTTAGAGTCTGCCACATAGGTCATAAGTTCATCCCTTCTATCCTATATACTGCACTTGATATGCTTGAAATATACAGGACTTCAGAGGTCGGCCTTGCTTTATGTGAATGAAAACCATTTCCAAGAATTTCGACATTGTCGAAATCAATCTTATGTTTGCTTAAATATCAGATCTTTTTTCTAGTCTTTTTTATTCTACTTCATTTCTAGTTGGACGTTTCGTGCACAGTCGATGTTCATTCACTGTGACTTTTACTTGTCCATCGCACTCACCTATATAGCATGGTTCACTTTCTGAACACTTTTTCCAGTAGACACAATTACTTTGTGAAATTTTGGGAACCATATCTTTGACATTCACCAAAGCGCCATCCATATAAGCGCAACAATCAACTTCTTTCAATTTTCCCCCGCTGACAAAGATAAGCACGTGCTGTCGTTTATTCTTCTATGTCAACCTCTTCTGACAATTTGATATTTGAGTGTAAATCTTCTAGTTTATGTTACATTGGACATCAGTCAATTACAGAGTCCAAACCTTCTGAACTCTTCTTATCATTTGAAAGTGTTCCGTTCATTCCATTTCAGTACACCGCATTTCACTGTATAAAACATGAGTCTACTTTAAACTTTGAATCTGTTCTTGACGATTTCTGAGCATTCATGTTTTTCTTTTCCGAACCTTCTGTCATAAAGACCACCTTTCCAGTTTACAAAATATCAAAACAACTGTAATTTATGTGTGGGTTTGATGAACATTTTATTTGGACTATAATCACACGAATATTATTGTATACCATTTGATAAAAAGTGTCGAGTGTTTTACGATATATTATATAAATGTTTTATACGGTCAATAAAAATAGTTAACTTGAAAATAAGCAGTGTCGGACCATAACAATTAGAATCACAACAAGTGCAACCACTTTAACATTTAAAAAAACCAATTGTATGATATACTCTATCAGAAATGATTGTTTTAGACAAATTTGAACAATACAAATGTTGCAGTCCTCTGTCGCGATCGAAGTGCATGTTTTTCAGTCAACAATATAATATATATATAGAATGTATAATATTAAAGTCTATTTGCACGTTCATTGTTATCAGAAGTTTGAAAACGAGACAGGTAAGGGGTGATCGATAGTAACATTACAGTTTTAATCATGCATTTCAAATTTGCTTATGTATACACTGTAATTATGCATTCCTGCCGATGTCATTTGCGTTTCTTACTTATTTCTGTATATATGTAGTTTGAAGATGAGGAGGGAACATAACGGATGTACCGTTGTGAAAACAAAAACATTTCTACCGATATCTACAAACGATTTCTCATTAAGAAATACTTCAAAGCAAAATGAATACAGCAAAATGCATATTCAAACGATCTTGATAAAGAGTTTGTTGAAAGGTCGGACAGGTCCACGGGCTATTTACTGTCAACTGAGCGCACTTTTCTTCTGAATTGATTATCAATAAATTTGAAGTACTGTAAAGCGACTGCTGAAAAATGGGTTCTCTTTCGTGGTCAGTCATATGACATGCTACTATTAGCCTTATAATTGCATTTCCAGCAGTTACATGAAAAATTTGATTTCATAGTGTAACACCTGTATGCACATGTGTCACATTCAATTCTCCATTAATTAACAGAGTATTATTCATTCGCCATGGAGATAACGTATTTTCTTCAACATTCTGTAGATAACAAAATGTCAAGTAAAATTGCGAGATCGGACATTTTGAAAACGTCAAGTTTCGGTCTACGACCAGGCGGCTTCCTGCACTTCTTCATCTGGGTAAGAAAGCAATAATTCCTTGTGAAATCGTTTTACATAGATGATGATTGATACATTCTTAATGCTTTTAATGACGGTGGGAATGCTTGTCATGGTTAACAAAATGTAAGACTGAAATCCCTACTATGGTGAGACAATGTTTTCGTTTCATAGAAATGGCCTATGTAACTGGATAACGGAGAATAAATGGATCTCAATTCTTTTGATGTAAGTCAATTATACGATGCGTACACCAAATATTTATGTGCGGTTCTTTTACATACACCCAACTTTTTGTCGAATGTAGGATTAATTAACCATCAGGAGACAGCAAATTCTATGAAACCGTAGATGACTGGATATATCTACTTGATATATCTACTTGACAACACACACGCACACACTGTTCTAAAATCTACTTGCTAACTGTAATAATTGATAAAAACAGTTGAAAAGGAATTCTCTATTTTTCTGCGTGACACTATATCTTCACTAGATATGATACACTACGCACTACATTGAAGCATAATCCAAGTAAAGCATTTATGAAGTAAATATCATTCAAGGCATTGAATACAGAAAGAACAACAATTTTTGCAGAATAACACGTTACCGTTATGTATTTCGTTATCTTCTCATCATCTACTTACTGCATAAATAAATTATGAAGTTTAAGTGCAGAAAAGTGATAACATACTTGCAACGTTTACGAGATATCAGTTGACAGGAAGTTTCGGAATTGGTTAACAGTGCTCAGAAAATCACGCTTATATAGCTTTAACATAGGAAGTTTAAACTGAAACAAAGTAAATGTGTGCATACAATGGTGAAAGAGTAACGTAATAAAGGCGAGAGATGCGTAAGATGATGATTGACTAATAAATTTGGTGACCATAAACTGAGTTTAACTTGGTTCAGAAAAACAAGAGACATGCGCAATTACACTGTGGAAACAAAACATTTATATGATCAAACTAAAGACAGAATATAGACCTCCAGTCACCAGAGCAAGGAAAGACTGGTAACTGCTTGTACCTGAACACACAGTTAACGTTTCAGGTGCCTGATTGAGATTGCTTCGGCAAACTTGAGGAGAATTGGGCATTTCTGTCAACAGATAATTTAAAAGGGTTTTGTGATTTCTAGCTCATCATCGCTATCAAGGAGATGGCTGCTAATAGCATTATTGCAATCATTTTTTCCCTGGAGTCATTGGTGTCTCCGTATACGTTCAGAAAATCGGAGGTATGCCCTTCTTTCTGCTCTCATAATGTAAATGTTCGTGCGGATATACGCTAATTTGTATGCATAGTTGGGGTTAACGTGATAAGAGTATATGTCGACTTTTGATTGCACCAAGCGGAATGTTGTCTAATAGACAGGATACAGCTTGGTTCCATGATATGCTCTGGTCAGTGATAATCTCAGTCTTCTGTTGACTATTGCCGCAATATTTTCACCCTTAAAATCAAGTTGAGTGAAGAAAGGCTTTTCTTCACTGTAACTTGTTTGAGATTTGACCCTTCACATATTCCATATTTGTTAATGAATCCTGAAGAGTAACCGTAGTTTTTCAACATATTTTCAAGAATCATAAATTCTTACTCTTATTCTGCTGTACGGCATATTCTCTCAGCCCTGTAGTATAAAATATATATACCATAGTGTATAGTATATATCTATACTATACAAAAAATATATATATAGTATAAATACATTGTTTGCTAAAGCATAGACTCTTTATTATTGTGTTGTGCGCGTTTGAAGCTATCTAGAGAAAAACTATTAAAACGTAGGTATTGTCTTTTCCACGGAGGCTTTCCATAAAGTGCCCTCTGGAGACTGCTATCTTTTAGGCGTTGCATGGCAATTTCAAGGAAATGGAACTGCCCATCATTTTCATGTTACACTGTACGTGAGTCCCACTCTGTAGGAAGCAGGACTTTCTTTGTTGCACACTAATAATGTGTCATCATTGTATCGACAATTAGTTGTTGTTTCATCAATGACATGCTTCAGCGTTGTGTTTTCAAGGTTGCACATTAAGATATCTGCTAAAAAAGGGCTAACGCGATTGCCTACAGCTACAGCAGCTATCTGGCAGCTACAACTGTTGCTTAACTGGAATAGCACTTATATGATTCACGTAAGTAGTAAGTGTTTGAATTGCAACTCTGAGAGTAAGAGAAGATCGAACTTTTGCACAATTAATGCTACTGAATGCAATTCATGAATTCCATGCGGCATACTGTATCAGACTATTGGTGAAATCATTAAAAGATTGTCTTCGGTTCTCAATTCTACTGATTAAGTATGCGTTTTGTAACTTATCAAGGATTTATGAGAGAGGGTGGTAATTAGCAAGTACCTAGTGACCTGATGAGATGGCGAAGAAAGCGGTCAGAATGGAAGTATTCATCGTGAAACTTCATTCGAGTTACTTCTCTGGATATCCTGCAGCGAATTGTCACCAGATAACTCCGTGACTTGAAAGATTCTGGGAGAGATGATTTTCCAGAAACGTCAGTCGTAATCAACAGTCGCGTTAACACTTACTTCTCAATAATCACCCTTTGCTTACAACATGATTCTGTTTTGGCTTTTACATGGATATTGTGAGCTATGCAATAAATTATTACCGTTCACGTTACTTTTCAGACTACTTGCAGCACTTCCGATGTTCATCCTCGCATTACTCAAAATACTTAAAATTCGCCGTGATGTTGATCACTTTCTGATAGGATTCAGTGTAAGTTTTTTGAGTCAATCTTATCTGAGTCACCTGGATGAGGATTTCATGACTAAAGCTGAAGTGACTTGCATATGCTCCAAACGAACATATACTTACCATCCATTTATGCCCCCTTTGTAGTGCGTTTACCACGAATTTTTGTTTAATCAAATTTAACTGAGGAAATCACAAATTAGGATTGTTGTGAGATGATACATTGCATAGGAAACACATGCGCTGATGCATGTTTCTAGCTGCAACATACATAACAGCGACCTCAATAGAAATAATAATCGCTCTATGAAGTTTGATAAGACTTATTTTTGTATGTTGACAGACAGAGCTGATCATGCAGCCACAGGCATTTAACCCACAGACGGATCAGTAAACTGAAATGTGCACAAATCATTACGAACCTTTTTTCAGTGTTCTGATAACAATTCTTACGAAGTCAGCCGCCCAAGTATATATGGAACATAAGACGCTCTAGATGTTTACAGGTTTCTTTTCACCAGGTATGCACTCAACCAGACCCTGAATAGATTATGCAATTAACGTTTGTGTTGATGACACTCACACCGTCGATATTCCTAGTTCACTTATGCCAGCTAATTAAAAAAACTTCTTTCTCTTTAGTAACCATAATATTTTAGTCTACCTAAATGTTTTACTGCTCTAGTGTAGCCGATCAATAGCTCCCATAGTAGTCACGATATTAAGCAGCTGGGAATTACCAAAATACGTTAAATGTCAGAAAAACTTTTTCTTGTAAACAAGGGGGGAGGGAAGTTCCTGAAGTGATAAAGTTGTAATAAACCAGTCGGAGAAATCTACAAATCTGAGTTGCATTGATATATACTTCATTGCAATATAATTCTCAAATGCTTTCCTAGTTCCTACTATGTTCCATGGGATTCGCCACTATGTACCGGGGTTTCAATATCTTCAATGCTTCAATATCTTTTGGTGTGACGATAGCACTAACTACATTTGTGATCGTTTTGGCTTTATACCTGCGAAATTCATCCACTGCTTTGACCATCACACTATTCGCATTCATGTGCGTTTTGGTGATCACTGGAGTCATTGTGTACGTTGTTCAGATCATACAACATGTACCCCAGGTAAGATTTAAATAACTGGGTTCTACGATAGCCTCACAATGTATCATTCCCGTTAACACTTCCTAACTGGTGATTGTTGATTCGCATAATGCTACGCATGGAAAACAAAGAGACGGATTCCATGTATTCAGAGGTTATATCTGCATAACTTCAAACCATTTCATAAGATTAGTTAAGATGAATCGTGGGACAATCATCGTAAACTGAAGTACCGTTTTATTCCTGCAGACGTCATCTTACTTCCTTTCAGTCGTCTTTTAAGATCCTTGAGAGTCGTCAAAATACGTTCAATGAAAATTTTCACCTATCTATCCACCTATCTAATACAGTATTGTACCATATGTCTGATAACAGGTTATGGGGTTTATTCCATTGATTATAAACGGACTAGATGCATCTGCAGTCATGCACTATCAACAGTGTTAATTACTTTTTATGAGATTAGAGTGAATCAGATAAATGTAAAGTGATATCCTCCAGGAATAATCGTTATTATAGTGTAAGCGCAGTGCATTCTTTTTAAACTCTAGTGGTGCAGTGAAAGTTCGATGACAATGAGTTAAAGGCATTTCAGCATGCAGATATTAAATCCTGATTTTTGTTTAAAGTTTAACAAGTCGGTTTCTGATGTTGAATTTTTTTGCATAATTTTAGCGGATTTACACAAATACTATTGCAGTTTCCTTCGGCATAGCTGTGGCTTTAGTAAGTTCAAATTCAATTTTTTTTCCTTCACGTTCCCCAAGGGAACGTAGTGTAACAACAGAAGACAAGGGTCAGGCAACAGATCCTTTATTAAAGGAAAATCAACACATATTTATAGATTTTAATGTGCATTATTGTAGATTATTGTTAGTAGAAAATACAGTCTTTTGATTGGTTGTTTCTCACAGAAAGTTAACCTTGCATCTCTTTGTGGCTGTGTCGGAGCATCCATATGCTAACTGTATCCGCCTACCTAAAGCCTTTGTTCTCATTTCTCACCATCAATATTGGGGACATAAACATTGACGTCAATTACTGTCTACCAACTTTGGCTAGCAGCTAGCTCTCACCACAATAGGGCTTCAATCTAGTGGCTTGAAGTTTCTGTAGCAGTGTTTGTTTTACAGGATGAGGTTGCTAGCCTCATGCCCAACCGTTTCTCTTCACCAGCATTATTTCTGGCTTGGCGAAGTAAAAGAGGGCTTTGGCCGGGGATCGAACTCCGGACCATGTGCATGGTCAGCGGGCGTCCTAACCGCTATCGTACCGACGCACATGTTTAAATTCAGTATCATGACAAAATTATTTGAGTTCAGTGTCACCTTAGAATCTGTGTAATCTAGAATGAGCCAATTTGTTTTAATGATGCTCTAATGTTTCTTTACCGATATCCAGTGTAAAATGCAGCGTTTGTTAATTCATCTCCTACTGTTAAGTGCGTTTTTTTAATCCATAGCAGCAAATATTGTAATCGGAGTGGAACTCATCAGCTTTAAATCTTGCAAATTTCCACGCACACGCATAGTTCAGTGATGCTGTGTGATGTGGATTATAAATTATTTATCAAGACTACAGACCTCTCAGAAACATGCATTCAGTTCACTAGGAAGAAATGTAATTATTCAACTGCGACAGCATTGTGAACCTCTTCCATGAGACAATTGTAGCAAATAGGCTTATTGTACGTTTCAAAGTTCAGTTTAGTGTTATCGAAGGCACTATTCATCGTTTGACATCCACAATTTCGTGAACGAAATGATACACTGATTAAAATACTTTGAATAGGCAATAATGTCTCAAATGGTAGATATAATTCATTCAGCGTTGCTTATTTTCCTACATTCTAGGCGATGTTCTTGACAATGAACAGACTGCGGTTTTGCATCTCATACAAGAGCACTTATTGCACAATTATATTTCGAGCGTTCTGTTTATGGTTGGAAATTCTTGGACTGTTCACAGCAATATACGCTATCTTTGAAAATAAAAATCCACCATGACCACAAAACTTTTTGACATTGATGAGTGCATAAATATCTTTTAACTTGAATATTATATTTTTCCAAAAAATATATAATTAAAACATGGATTCTGAACATGCTTTTTATCAACTACAGATTAAAAAATGTTATAACTCAATATCAATTAGTTTCCAAGTAGGTATTGAACTCAAAATGCACTTCTGCAATATCATGTTCACTAAATGACTATTCACAATTACAAAATTCCATTATTTAACTTTGTCTGAGGCATTTAACATAAAACACGAGATAAAAGGGATTTGGATACAATTATTAGGGGACAGATTTGATCTAAAATAGTTTCATGAAGGGACCACAAACCATTCTTCTGAAATCCAGGTAGAGAATTCTTCGAATTCTCAACGTTTAACTGAACACTTTTGAACACCTCGGTTGTTATGCAACAGAGTAATCAATTCTCTCTGAAGGAACTACTCTGGGAATTCAGAATTGTTGGCGCTTCCTGATTTCGGTTGTCATGAGTCAAAGTTTGTTAATTCCGGTAAATCTATATCATGAAGCGTCTTTTATATCTATTTCTGTGTGAGCAGTTCACTCAAAGTGTCTGGACTTTCAATCTCAGGACGGAGAAACAGCACTTTTGTGGATCTGGTTACTCATGTTCTTCTCGAATACTGCCAAAATTTTACTGCGTTTGCTTGCTTTACTAAAACATCATAAAATGGAATTTCATTCTCTTCCTCATAGAATACGATGTGGTTGACTGGATCATATGTCATTTCTGAATCATCCTGTCCAATGACAAAGAAAGTATTTACGTCACACGTAGCCACATTGTTATGATTGGTTACGTGGCATCGTTCGTATTTAGTTTATACCTCCTATCAAGTTTTCAGCAGTAACACTTTTATTCATCAGTCTCCAAATGAAAGATTTTTTCTTGAATATTTGATTGAGTAATGAACACTTTCCGTCCCACTGTCTGTATATTCATTCAGTCTTGGTAACTGCAATGTTGGCAATAAAGAAACGAAAAAAGTAGTGTAATAAGAATCACATTTTACCGAGTTGATGACTTATGCGTCCACTTTCTCGAGGATTTCCATTGCTTTTTGTGGCCGCTTATATGTTTTGAATTACTGGTGCATACTCATTTATACAATATGAGATAATATTAAAGCAATTCACAGTAAATCGATCTTTTTGTGAATTGTATGTTAGCTGACTTTTAGGTTGGTCTCTTAAGAGATGACCTCGTTCGTTTCGTAGCACCGTCTTGTTTATTCCACACCTAGAAAGCGTACTTTGGACTCGTATTCCATTTCTAGAGTGGATTTAATGCTTGCAAGCATTCGCTAAATATTTGTAGCAACTGGATTTCTTTCGGTTTCCTGTTAAATGCTTTCTTGTCTATCCTTTTCATGAATCATGAAATGTCTCGGTCAGTCGTCAACTTATTTCCCTTCGTGAAATCATTCCTGATCTTCTCGAAGAGGAAAAGATATCTTTCCTGCATTATAAGAACACCTAACATCAAACCAATAGTTATAATCCTGTTCACATTACGCACATTTATGTAAGTTAATTTTAAACATTTGAACTAGAAGAATAATGTAATCCAGACAATTGAGGAGTGGACGTCTGCAGTATGCGTTCGCTAAATACGATGTAAAACTTGAAACTTCTTCAACTTACTTTGAAAGCGCTTGTGAGTATTGAAATACTAAAAGTGACTATAATATATATCTGGAATGCTCATAGCTCAACATATCCATCGGCAATGCTCTTAAGCTGTTGCATTTCACTTGCTTATCTAACTTCACTGTATCTCTTCAGAACATGAAAGAGTAGCCTATATGCTACTTGTCGAAGACTTTATGGAAATCATAACAGTATTCTTGTTCATTACTTGGTGACCTCAAGAAACGAGTAGGAACACCACAAATCCCATCAAAAGCATGTAGTTATATCATGCATTACAAACACGAATTAGCCAGTTTTCCTACACATCTACCATGTTATCGTCGAGGAAATTATATGAACCCATGATAATTGTTGAGGGAAATAAATAAGGAGATAATGTAACCAGAGACAACAAATCAAAATTGCTTAACATGAGAATTCCTTATTGTTGAATGGAATGATGTATTGAGGTGAATAAAAGATAAAACACTGTGATGTACATTGTCGAAAAGGAGAGATAAGCAAAAGACACATATATGGATGGGACAAAACCTTGAATTGAAGTCCGAGAATGTTTGCATCGATGCATAAACGGGTTCTGCGTGAATACAAAATTACAGTCTAATTGAACCTATCCTAACAGCACCAGATATCTGTAGAATACGTGGGAAAACTGTGCATGATAATGACTTCGATGTGTGATAGTTCATGTTTCCAACTCTTATAGCCTAAATCCGCCTTCATAAAAGACCGGTGATGTGGCGATATTTCTCTGCACAATCATCTGGGCTCATTCACCCTACTCTAAATTCTAGGCAACCCATCAAATTACATTTGAAGACTTTGTTAAAAGGCAAGTTTCTACAGAAGAACAACTATTCTTTCTTCATGAATGTCTCCGCCAGCAGATTCTATCAACTAGTGTCAAATATAAACCACCAATTAACTGCCATTTAGGCTGGAAATTAGCCAAACAACATGGAAAACAAACGATGAAATCATTGATCACGGATGCACACAATACGATTAGAAAATACTAGCATATGATTAGATTCCATAAAGAAAAGGTTGAACAGACTCTTACGCCAGAACATCTGCCAACATTGAATACTGCCATTAAAATATTATGCGAACGACACAAAGAACGAAGACGAGTCGCCCTCAAAGGAAAACTAGCTAAGATATCCAAACAACCATCTGAAGAAACTCTAAATGATTGCGAAGTAAATCTATCAAAACAGCCAATTAACAAACACGTTAATATAGATGAAATATGCCGATTAATAAAAAGTAAATCAGGTGACCAAAACGTTTAAAATCCAAGTCAATAGAAAATGGTCAATACATATGTAAAGATAGTAACCAGGAGGCGCAATTACATCACACATGAAGAAATTTAAATCACTTCACTTTGTGCTAAATATGGCGCTGAAGATGTTGTCCAGAAGGACGACGAAAGCTTCGCAACTAAACCAATCACCTCAGAGAACAATTTTCATTGCAAATTACATTAGAGAAATTGAAATCATTGAAGGTAAGCTCTTAGCGGAATTGTATATTTTCCTTCTTCATTCCTCATTGAAAAAGCATTACTGATTTTGTTTGTATTTTGTTTCATGTTCACGAACAGCAAAACCTCGCCCAGATTACTAGGTCACTAGTATTCTAGCCGGTCCCAAGCCCGGATAAAGAGGGAGGGTTGGGGCATGGTGCTAGCAACTCCACCCCCAAAACTTAACCAAATTGCTACAAATAATTCAACGCGCAAATATATTAAAAATTCTAAAAATACAAACAATAACCTAATATTTCGCTGGAATCGGGAAAGTGAAATGACGCAGACTGGTGAAAGCCTTCGGGAAGCCAGTCAGCCGATGTGCCTTCTTTCGATGAAAGCAAAAATAAGGATGAGGACGTGGAATATTCGTACAATGCACGAAACTGGAAAGGCTGCTCAGGTAGCCGCAGAAATGAGGATATATAAAATGGAAGTGTTGGGAATCTGTGAGAGCAGATGGAACGGATGCGGAAGTTGCCAACTACCAACTGGAGAGACAATAATCTACTCTGGTCACCCAGAGGACGATCACGAGCACACCGAGGGAGTAGCCATCATGATGTCACCAACAGCGGCTAAAGCTCTCATGCAGTGGGAACCAATCTCCTCCAGGATAATGACAGCCAGGTTCAACTCAAAAGGAAAAAAGGTTACAATCATTCAATGCTACGCGCCTACAAACGTCTCAGAACAAGAGAAGAAGGAGGATTTCTACAGTCAACTACAAACAGTAATGGACAACGTCCTAAAGAGCGATATCAAAATCCTGGTGGGTGACACGAATGCGAAACTGGGAGGAGACAATACAGGAAGAGAACTCACCATGGGTCGTGAGGCCCTCGGTGAAATGAACGAAAATGGTGAACTCTTCTCAGACTTCTGTGCCTTCAATGATTTGGTGATTGGTGGCAGTGTGTTCAAACACAGGGATATACACAAGACAACATGGATTTCACCAGATGGACACACCAAAAACCAGATAGACTTCATTTCAATCTCAAGGAAGTGGAGACGGAGCCTACTGGACACAAGATCGAGGAGAGGAGCAGATGTGGGTCCAGACCACTATCTAGTACAAGGGACTTTCAAGGTGAAGCTGAAAGCCTCGAAGATACCTGGGGATAGGCCACAATGCAAGTTCAACACTCAAAAACTGAAGGACACAACCACAAGAGACATTTTCACTGCAACTGTCAGAGCAAAGCAAGAAACACTACCTGGCACCACTGAGGAATCATCCGTGGAAGACCACTGGAACTCTCTGAAGGTAATTATCAACGAATTGTGTTCAACGGTTTTAGGAAGAAAGAAGAAACAAGACAAGGAATGGCTCTCAACGGACATTTGGAAGCTAATAGAGGAGAGGAGAATGGTGAAAGAGAAAATGATTCAATGGAAAGATGGACAAGAGAAAGAGACGCTGAGCTCAACTTACACAGCACTGGACAAAGAAGTGAAGAAGAGTGCCAGGAAGGACAAAAGACAATTCTACGACAACCTGGCTACTGAAGCTGAGAAGGCAGCAGGCAAAAGGGACCTGAGGACACTATATCAAATAACCAAGTCTCTATCCGGGAAGAGATCAACACAAGTGAAACCTATAAAAGACAGCCAAGGGAACCCAATTACTAAAGAAGAAAGACAGATTAAACAATGGGCGG